AGTGGTGTTTGTATTGGAAGAGTAGTGTCTAGTACTAGTTTCTTGATGATGTGGAGTTTATAAAAACTATGTCTAGAGTCTTGAGTTGGGAATAGCCTAACACAGATAAGGAACAGTAATCTAACGGTTCATATTACATCGCTATTGTAGCGTGCTATGTACAGGAGAGGCTCAATATTAAACCTAAGGGCTCACTGTTACTACAGGAGTTTTGCTACAGTACCATTTTGTAGTTACTGTAGTAGACTATTGTTAGCATATGAGCTCTCTGCCTTAGTGCAGATTATCTTAATCCGGAGGCAACGGCTAGCTCCTTTGGTTCATGTACCAATCACTGGTTCACCACCGACTGAAGCTCATTCCAAATATTCTTTGGAGAGAGAGGAGTATTCCCTAGTCCCAAAATATAAGAACTTAAAATCGGATATGATTTATTAAAAAAATCGGATATGATATTTTTTAGTACTATGAATCTGAACAGGCTACTAGAAAATGTTTCATCCGATTCTAAGTTTTATATTTTAGGATGAAGAGAGTAAGGAATAATTTCTCCTGTCATTTATATTTTTGATATCGTGTGTGCGTTTTGCTGCAACCATCTTATATAGGTATGGCTGTGTAGAATATACTACTTTATAGAAAAATCTAGTGTTGAGTAGTACCTGCTTTAGCTCATTCTTAAAAACCTACTCACTCCATTTCAAAAAACTCAACCTAGCAGGGTCATATCTAGATTCGTTGTAGACCCCTGCTAGGTTAAGTTTTTTATACATATGGGCTGTTCAGATTGATGCAATTTTCAACCATATCATTTTTTTTGGCATAGTTGCTAAAAATATGTCTATGTTTAGTTTGTTGCCAAACTTTGTTTAATACTTCCTCCGTTTTATAATGTGAGTCATTTTATCATTTTCCACATTCATATTAATGTTAATGAATCTAGATAGATATATATGTCTAGATTCATTAACATCAAAATGAATGTGGAAAATACTAAAATGACTTACATTGTGAAATGGAGGAAGTACATAAGAAATCATGCCAAAATTTAGTAAAGTTTATTTTAGCTACAATCTGAACAAGTTTATAGAAAATACTCGACAATTACTGCATCATTCTGTCGTTTGGCACAACTTATACTTTACTCAAGAAAATCTCAAAAGCAGATATATCAAACATGACTTCGCGACGACCGTAGAATTATACATTACGAGAAACTCAAAAACCATTACTCATGTGAGCTGTACCGTGGTACAGTTTAGCTGGGAAATTTAACTATTTGCCACTCTTGTGACATGGCAATTAACGATTTGCCACACCCTGTCAATGACATGTGGGCCCTCATGTGTCTATGACATGTGGGCCTAGTGGCAAATCGTTAAGCAACATCCGTAAGAGTGGCAAATAGTTAAAAGCCCCAGTTTAGCTAAAGCTCCACCAAGGAGAAGTACGTAGTATCGACGAGCAGTCGATACAAGGAAGAATAAGAAAAATGAAAACACAACGCGGCACATGACTCTGTTTTCTTCTTAGAATTACACAGTACAACGCTGACACTTACAAACTCTGCACTTTGATAATTTGCCTTAATTTGGGCTTTGGCTCGAACGAAGAAGAAAAGAAAAGACAGCATATGCTGCTTATCGATCGACGAAAACGAGAAGCAGCGATGCAGTGTTGACGGGTTCCGTTTTCAGGGAAAGAAGAAGAGACGACAGGACACAGGAACCGCGCCGCGCAGTCAGAATCTGATTGTTTCGAGTGTTTGCTGCATATGCTCCGCTGACCGACTCGTCACTCGCTGCAATGACTTGTTCAATTCTGCTGTGTTTCTCAATGATTCAGTTGGAATGGTTTTCTTAATCAGTTATGGGATTATAAGTACACACTTGTCGTATTAAAACATAATAATTATCATTTATTTTTGTTGTGGTTTAGTTTATCACTAAAGGTAACTTTCACATGACTTATAATTTTTACATGTTTTCATAGCTTTTGAATAAGATAAATGATCGAACATATTTTTAAAAGTTAACGGCAATATCTTTTGAAAACCGGAGAAAATATCTAATATTATTTCTTCGAGATGGCCGTTCTGTTAGCTTATGTGAGTACTAAGTTGATTTTCTTTTCATTATCAGGTAATAAAATTATTATGTGCGCGCGCTTATTTCCTCGATGAGAATTGGTCACATTGTTGCAGTATTTTTGTTATATGCTCCCTTTTTTTTTTCTTCTTATGTAACATTGGTTACTTGAATTTGAACTAACCAACTTCGTATGGAAATAAGAATGGAGGGAGGACGTACTAAATGTATGTTTTTCTTATCGGTTCATAACCTTCTCTTTCTCTTTGGAAGAAAACTTACTAGATTGTCAATACTTTATATATCTTAGTAGTACACCTTAACATGCTCAGCTGCTTTTAACGTTTGGGATTACTTTATTTCATTCAAGCAGTTAGCATATGTTATTAATATGGAGAAAAGGCCACACGCTAGTTGGCAATTTGCACATGGTCTGCCATGATTTAGCCCCAGTCTAACATAGTTCCATACTTCCATGTCATGAAAAGAATGAATGGAGAGAGAGAAAAAAAAAGTGCAGGGCACTAAGTACATGGATCAGCATATAGGAAGCATCTCGCCGAGATGCCTGATTTGTTATTACATCCTAGATCCTCGTCATTATCATCCATGCAAAAAATATTCGAATCCAACCAGGACAGGGTTTTTTTTCCTTCGTGCCAAAGATATTTGAGAAAGCGTGTATTTGTTTCGACTTAGTTTCAAACTAACAGCGTGCCAAAGATACACATTTGGCACTGAAAAATCGATTTACCTATCATATAATGAGAGAGAGATAAAAAGGAAATTAATTGAAGGTTATGAATTTGTCGTTGCCATGTGCATTTTAATTTGAGGGTGTGTTAAGGACACATTTACGGAGAGTGTGTGCGATGTGCATATATAGTGATATGCGTGCACATGTCTTTCATATAATAAAAATATGGGAAATACTTACACACAGATATGGGTAGAAACACGTTTGGTTTCTAGCGCAATAATTTTATTCTAAACAAAACTATTTTTTATATACTCCTCCTCTCAACCAATCGTAACCATTATTCATCTTCCCTATAATCACAAATAAAAGTTAAAAGAGTCATCAAAACTAGAAGAAAACAAATAGTGTTGCTCATGAATTTTGCCAATCTCCCCATCTAGAGGCGGATCATCCATTTGGCTCTTTTACATTTGAGTGTGTATTATGGTCTTAACGCAAATCGATATTAACCCCGGCATCTCATTTTATATTTTTTTCCTTAAAAAATGGTATACTATGGGTGTATTTGGTTGGACTTTTCAACCTGCTTGGAAAAGCCAAAAGCCAACCAAAGGGTTCAAAAGCTACGGCTGCTTTTACCCAAAGCCAGCTTTTGGTGTAGTACAAATCAAAAGCACATCTACCCCCCTGCTTTCACCTATTTTTGGGAGAAAAAAATTACCCACCTCTGCCATTAAAAAAACGGTTCGCTTGTTTTTTTTTCTCCCATCGCTTTCCACGGGCGTCGCACCTCCTCCTACTCACTTCGTCGCCGCCACCGCTCCTCCTCGCCCCGCCACCGCGCACGTCCGCCTCCGCTGCCGCCGCTCCTCCTCGCCATCGAGGCTGACTCCGCCGACGCCCGAGGACGACTCCGCCGCCACCGAGGACTCCGACGACGCCGAGGCCGACTCCAACACCGCCAAGGTCAACTCCCGCGTCTGCCTCCCCACTGCCGCCGCACGCGTATGCCTCCTCCTCTGCCACCGCCGAGGCCTCCTCCTCCGCCGCCGCCGCCGAGGCCGACGCCGCGCGCGTCTTTGTTTTTTCTCTCTCTTTTTCCCCTCTTTTCCAATGGGTGTATAACATGTGGGGCTCGCTTGTAAGTGGGACTATTTATTTCAAAAGCTACAGCTATTGAACTAAACGAGCTTTTCCAAAAGCCACAACACATATTTCACAACTGCTTTTCGAAAAGCCACAGCTACTTTTTCAAAAGCCATAGCTCATCCAAACACACCCCATATCTTTGCAGTGTCCTTTTCAGCTTTTTATACCGTCCGTGTTTTCCTGATCTTGTCATTGGCTCTACATGTAAAAAAGTACTAATTCACATACCCTCAAATAAATTCTAATTTTCTCGTTTAATATCATAATCAGGTTAATTTAAATAAGAGCAGAGCTACATGCACTAACGGATTGTTCATATTGGTGCCATTTCAAACCATACTATTTTTTTTGGTAAAATTATCAAAGATGTGCATCTATTTAGTTTTTTATAAACTTTGATAAATACATAAGAAATCCTACAAAAACTTGAGAAAATTGCCAAATTGACACAATTTTGACACTGCCAAAATTTAGTAAGATTTATTCTGGCTACAATCTGAACAGTCCATAATTTATTTCATAATTCCGCTGACTAAATTCTCATTTGCCTGATTTGAGAGTTAGGGTGTTCCATACTACACATTTCTAACTTCTACTCGCTCGTTTCTAACACACCCGCATCCCGAACAGCTAAATAGTGTGTTTTTTTCTGAGAAAAAAATTATAAACAAAAGGTGCTTTAGAAAGAAAAACATGTTAATCCTTTTTTTGTTCATGTTATAATACTTAATAAATTATACTTCAATCCGTTGTTGAAAAGGCTTCCCAAATCCCAATCCGAGATGAAAAATATAGACCCAATACCAATACGCCACATGAACCTTTACAAGATTCTTTTATTTTTTAAAAAAAATATATTGTACGAGTAGTCCCTTTTTTTCCTTCCAAAATCGTAATCCGATTAAATTTCTAAATTTAAAAGAAGAAGACAAAACACGGATCCAAAATTGAGACAAACAGGCGACCCGGCTCCTCTCCTCCCTCGTCACCGCGACGGCCACCGCCAGATGCCACGCGCCCACGCGCAAACGGCTATAATTACCCTCCCTCCCCTTCCCATGATCTCCTCCTCTCCCACCACCACCACCACATCAACCTCCCCCCTCCCCTTTCCGTTTCCCACCCCCCTCACCGCCGTAATCCCGACACCCCTCGCCGGCGCACGCGAGAAGAGTAGTGCTATCTCCGGGGTCGGAGGCGCGGGGGACGTGTGAACTGCTTTGCGATCGCCGGCGGCGGTGCTGGTGGTGTTCCGGGCTAGGCTGCGTCGGCCGATCGGCGGGCGGGCGCACGCACGCACGCGTCGCCATTGGCGGCGAGCAGCGCGTCCCCACCTTTGCTGCTCCGCGCGTTTGCCGACGCGATGGAGGCGGCGGGCTACTACAACTGCAAGAAGAACGACGGCGGCATCTGCGGGGGCGTCTGCGGCGGCAGCGAGGTGAGATTCTGTTTTCCTCTCTCGTCCCACCCAGATCTATCCCTTTCTCTCCCGCCGCGTTGGGATTTTCGCGATGGATTGCTCGGTCCACGGAAAAAGCCCAAGCACCCCTCGTTCTTCTTGGTGCCTTGCTTTTTTTCGGCTATTCTATTGCGTTTGGATCGAATAAAAAGTAGGGATGCAGAACTGCTTGCTTGATGCTTCGATTTTGGCTATTTTATTGCGTTTGGATCGAATAAAAGTAGGGATGCAGAACTGCTTGCTTGCTGCTTCGATTTTTTATTGGTTATTGCTCTGGGATCATAATAATTCATAAGTGCTTGCTGATTGGAATATTTTAATCTTCTATTTGTTGGGGGCTATTTGTGCTGGAGATGGGATTAGGTGAAGTTCAAGCTTGGATGCTTCTGGCGCCGGTAGAATCTCGCGAGCTGGCCGAATTGGTTGTCCAGCCTAATCCTGGAATCTTTCTTTTCTTTTCCTTTGTATAAGGATGTTACAAGTATCTGCCTTTTACTTTTTGCAAAATTCCCGAGGGATTATTCATGCCGCCAAAGATAACAATTTCATGGAACATAAACAATCAGCTGATTTCCTTTTTGGGTGGATATGCATTAGCTTATCATGGATATGAACATTGAGTTTTTAACCGGGAATATGCACACATTCTACTGTCTATGATCCTGTAGTTGTAACGTTGTTGTTAAATAAAAAAAATTACTATCCTTTGGTTATTGCTGCTACTAGATTCACGGTGGATGTTACAACTTAGAATTTTTGGCAATTTGTACTGATAACCTGATCCTCTGGTTTGGTAGAACCAATGCTGTTGAATTTTCATTTGTGTTTTGTGCAGTTGATTGGTGTTGAAATAATTATGTGAAGAAGATGGGTTTCTTTTGGTTTCAGTTGACAGCCTGATTTCTCACTTGTTTTCTGAAATTCATTTGCAGCATGGTTCAAAGGCAATTCTGAGCATGTCAAGGTTGAAGTGTGCGCTTCGGGGGTTTGATTTGAGGGCACTTCTGATCCTCTTGATTGGTGTGCCAGCTCTAATATTCATTATATATGTTCATGGCCAGAAGGTGACTTACTTTCTTCGACCGATCTGGGAAAAACCGCCAAAGCCCTTCAATGTGCTTCCTCACTACTATCATGAAAATGTCTCGATGGCAAACCTATGCAAGTTGCATGGATGGAAAGTCAGGGAAACTCCACGCCGTGTTTTTGATGCTGTGCTTTTCAGCAATGAGCTTGACATTCTTGATATCCGTTGGCATGAGCTTAGCCCATATGTGTCAGAATTTGTGCTGCTCGAGTCCAACTCAACCTTCACTGGCCTGAAAAAGGATCTCCACTTCAAGGAAAACCGTCAACGCTTTGAATTTGCTGAATCACGGTTGACCTATGGTATGATAGGTGGAAGATTTGTGAAGGGGGAGAACCCATTTGTCGAGGAGTCATATCAAAGGGTTGCTCTTGACCAGCTTATCAAAATTGCTGGAATCACAGATGATGACCTTTTGATCATGTCTGATGTTGATGAGATCCCCAGTGGCCATACAATCAACCTCTTGAGGTGGTGTGATGACACTCCTGAAGTGCTTCATCTCCAGCTCAGGAACTATCTTTACTCATTTCAGTTTCTCCTTGACGACAAGAGTTGGAGGGCTTCAATACACAGATACCGGGCTGGAAAGACGAGGTATGCGCATTTCCGGCAAACAGACGACCTTCTGGCCGACTCAGGGTGGCACTGCAGCTTTTGCTTCCGGCACATAAATGATTTTGTCTTCAAAATGCAAGCTTACAGCCATGTTGACCGGATTAGATTTAAGTACTTCTTGAACCCCAAAAGGATTCAGCATGTGATATGCCAAGGAGCTGATCTTTTTGACATGCTTCCCGAAGAGTATACATTCCAAGAGATCATTGCCAAGTTGGGGCCAATCCCTAGCACATTTTCAGCTGTTCACCTTCCTGCTTATCTGTTGGAGAAAATGGACCAGTACCGCTATCTTCTTCCGGGCAACTGCATGCGAGAAAGTGGCTAGGGATGATGATTTGCATTATGATCTGATGCACAATGCCCCTTTGGAGGAACATCGCGCCACAGCGTGTAGCTGATACGATTGACTAGCTTAGTTGAGCGACCAATTGGTGGTTGGTTTGAGTTCATGATTTTGTACTGTGTAGTTGGAAGGCCTAACAGCATAGCGCATGCTTGGGCGTGCTGCGTGCTTGTTTTGCAGAGGAGCTCGGCAGAGTGTGCTTATACCACCCGAGTTTATTCATTGCTCCCATGATTGATATATGAACTCAAAACTATTTGTAAATTGTGAACTGAGTGACACTCTAGATCTGGTCCAACTCCATGGTGTACATCGTCATTTACTTACAGATGAGATACTAGTACCATTTTTCTCTTCTTGACCCCGACTATGATGTTCATCTCCTTGTAACTGTTGACAGTGTCCCCCTGTGTTCCTAATTCGTTTACCCTTTGATGCATTTGCTGTAGTAGTAACACGTTTTGAGTCAAAAGAACACGCAGGATATTTCCCTTTCAATTTGAGCCCAATAATAGGTAAAGCAGCTGAGACATTTACTGACATGTTGGTGGCAGTTGCAGGTTGGCAAGAGCTGAGCTCGCAGCAGCACTACTACTATTGTTCGGCCTTCTCCAGTTGTCCTCTCATCCTTGGCAATGAGCAGCATCAGGCTGGCAGTTTCAGTTGGGTAATCCGGTAATCCATCACCACTAGACTTTGCTAGTTTGCTAACGAAATAGTACTCCCTGTATGCGAGCCGTTAAGCGACCTGTGAACGCGGCATTTCTTTATGGTGGGAACAGGCTGTTCCTGTCGGGGGCGTCCACCTCAGCCAGATTGACAAACGAACACGCTGCAAATTTGGCTCATTTTTCTACTCACCTCCCCTGTATGCGAGCGAATGCGATGCGATCCTACGCGCTTAATTTTTGTTGTTCCGTGCTGGCAGGCAGCAGCAGCATCGCACGTTGCCTGGTCCCTGCAAACAAACGAGCACATACTATAGCTGTAGAATTATCGGCACAAAAATCTCTGAACCAAAATTCTGGCTATATTTATGGCGCCATATTTTTCACCAAAAAATAGTCAGCATGTATTTACATTGTAACTTCCTAAATTATATATGTAATTATATAGAGTGTAATTTTACATGTAGATAGCAAAGGAACGTGATCGATCAGATAAATCACAGCAAGCAGCACAGATGCATGTGTATGTAGTATGAACTAGTGCTTGCACGCACGATGGCAAATTAAGCAGTCCTGTACGAATCTAAACGAAACTTTGAGGGCTAAAAACTGACTGTAATTAGAGAAGATTTATGGCGACATAACTATATCAAAACCGAAATTCTATTTCTGTCACGCTTCGTCGCTGCACGGATTTTCTTTTTTTTCTGATTTCGAGGAGATCATGGCGGGCGGCTGGGTGGCGGCGCTGCCAGTGCCAGCCATGACTGACCAGGGACGACATGGGCGCCGCATTGGCAATTTGGCATGGGCGGGCGAGGGATTTCCCATCCCCGAGCGGATGAAGCGTGTCGACTCGTGTTGGTTCGTTCGTTTGGTCGGTTTGGGTTGGCTCGCCGCTGGCGCGCGCGTGCGTCGCGGATTCGTTCGTGGGGGCGTATGGAACTGCGGCGCGGGCGCGGGGACAAGGGAGCGCGTCGCGTCTCTCGGTTGCTTCGCCGCGTCGGTTTCCTCTTCCTCCTCGTGACGGCTCTGACCCGAGCAACGCAGATCGTTCAGCCGCAGTGACCGTTGGAACTCTACCGGGGGGATTCCGAACGGAAATGTGGCTGTGTTTAAATCTAAAGTTTGAATCCAAACTTCAGTCATTTTTCATCATATCAACCTGTCATACGCACATAACTTTTCAGTCACATCATTTTCAATTTCAACCAAAATCTAAACTTTGTGCTGAACTAAACACAACCTTTGTGCAACTCCGAAGTTCCTTTTTGGGTTTTGCACGGAAGCGGGTGTACGTCACCCACCGCTCCGTTCGGTTTAGGAAATTAGCAGCACACAAGGCACGAGAAACCATTGACATTAATGATTGATCAAATGTTAATTATTATAAATTTAAAAATAGATTATAAGATATATTTTTTTTAAAAAAAACTTGTAATTCTACATATACCATTAAATAGATTAATAAGATTTTTTAAGAAAAACTTGTAATCTTATATGTAATATTTTTTAAAAAACATATCATTAAAAACAGATTAATATGATCCTTCAAGAAAACTTGTAATCCTATATGTATTTTTTTTAAAAAAACATAACATTAAATAGATAATGAGAAAGTTTTCATTTGGAGTCCACAAACGATCTCACCCACTATATATTTTACACCACTGCGAGACGCGTAGAGAATGCAGGTTTGATGTCGTGAACTAACAACGGCGTAGACCGTGGCAACATACACCGCGTGGTCATTTCAGGCTGGATTAAGCACCATCTTATTATATCTTCTTGTTTTCTTCTTAACAAATTATAATTAGACCACAAAGTTGTTAATTAATTACGACCACAAAGCGCTGTGTGTTTGACGACCCGGATGCTTTTACCGGGTCATTCAAACCGCATGGGCGCGCAACCAAAAAGCTCGTTAGATTTTTCCTTCCTTTACGAAAGCAAATTCCTGCCAAATTAAAATATAAAACAATATCTGTGGCGACCTGGTCGTTTGGGTGGCGCTGGCATGTGGCTAGAGCTAACTAGACTTCTCCTGATACGCTGATAATGACCTGGATTGATCAATTGATAGGCGGATTTATGGCCTTCGTGGCGGACGGGTTATGTGATTGTGATGGATCACTGGAAAAGCTACGAAATTCTCTGCAGGTTAAAGTGTAATAACCTGAAAGATGGTTAACCTTTTTTGCGTCAGCTGTAAAAAAAGGGAGATTAATGGGCTGATCACTTAACTGAGATGGCTCGTCATTTACAGTCCGTTTCGTGCAACCGCACCACACGCTAAGTGCGCGGCCGCGTCTACCGTGATTGTTTCGATACAATTGTGTGCAAGTTAACTGTCCTGTCGTTAATTCATGAGTTAATCCTATACGGTTATAAAAAAAAAACACCACCAATGATTTACAAATGATTTAGGTCTTTCATTTTTTTTTAAGGAAACAATATTATTCCTCTGTCAAGCCTTTTCGACGAGCTTACGGCAATTGCTTCGTTCAGAATAAAAACTTCCCTAAATAGATAAATTTTTCATCTAGATTCGAGAAGCTATAGTTAAAAATTCAAACAATAAACAAGAAACCACAAGTTCTGTTTTTTTAACATTATCATATTCTTTGAAACTGGCTTCCAACCAATAATCAGATCTTAACTTTATCCGAACAGAGGGCCATGTGTTATGCCGTGCCGATATTCCATACCCAAGTTACAGTGGGCCGCACAACAGGCCCATACGGCCCCAAAGGCGTGAACACATTCTAAGTGGGCCCTAATGGGCCCGCAAATCAGAAACCGGAAGACGCGGTGGCGCGGCGCTACCGAAGCAAACGCTCCTCCTTTTTATTTGCATTTCCCCTCGAGTGGTGTCTCTCTCTTGGGGAGCGCGTGTGGCTTGCGAAGGAAGGAGGAAGCGGAGCAAAGGCAAAAGCAGCAGCAAACCGCCATTGCGGCGGCAGGCAGCGCCCCGGAATCCCGGGGGGTTCAATAGAGAGGGGGATAAGGGCGGAGGCGCGGTGTCGCTGGGGGGCGCATCCTCCCCTCCCCGCGCCGATCGATCGATCGCCGCCGCCGCCGCCGCTGCATTGGTCGCCGTTCGGAGGGAGGAGGAGCAGCCTGCTTGGTTCGGGAGGGGGTGGTCCGGTGGTGCCGCGTCTCGCTCGCGGTCGCGGACTCGCCGCTGATCGTGGTTGGGGTCAGGACGCACCGCCCGCGCCGCCATGGCGAGGTGACTAGTGATATTTTCTTTCCCCTATTCCTTCACCCATTTTTCTGCTGTTGTTTTTAGGGCTCGTCTGATCGTTACCCGGATGGGGGTGGATGGTTTTTAATGGTTCAATGACGCGTCTCTTTGGTTCATACTCCTCACATAGTAGTAGTACTTGAAATAAGTAGTAATATGATTTAAGTTGATGTAGGATATCACTTGGGCTCACAGCTCACGGTTGCTTGAACAGAATTTTACTGAAGAAATGAGAAAATCTTGGTGGGATTAGTATCATTTTAATTAAGAAATTAATACGCACCGAAATCGAGCCAAAGAGGAATCAAATCTAGGTGGCACACACTCTTACCTACCCACAACCACAAGTGAGCTAGGCTATGCATGCCAGGTTAATGGTCAGCTGCACTTGTATTTGTGGTCTCTGTCAGAGTGCATACCGCAATGTGGTCAGTGTATGGAGCTGAAATTTAGCTATATCACAAATTTGTTTGCGTTCAGTGTGGAATTCGGTTTGTTATGGTTCGAATTATGTTAACTTCTTTGCTTGAAATTGCTCTGCATATTTGGTACATGGAACACAAAGCGTTACTGTCTGTAATTGTATCACCATTGTACTACATTGTTCAACCCATGGTTATGCGACTTCAGCTCAGGCACCCCCCCCCCCCCCCCACACACACACACCAAAAAAAAAAACTTTTCAATCAAGGTTTTCATTTAGAAAAGGGCATCAAAATGATATAGTACTCATCTTGCTATACATAGTTCACTAACAAGCAATGCTGAACGGTCAATCGATTATGCACAAGTATAACTCCCCTAAGTCATGCGCATATACATCGTTTTATTCTAACGTTGCAAGTTACTTTAGTAACAAATGCCAACATGCTTGTTTTGCTGCAGGTCTTGGCTTATAACTGGTAGGGGAGTTGCTAAGAAAATAAGAAATGCACCTCATTGCTCTAGTCGCCCAATAAGTGAATTGGGTGCAGAAGCACAGATGGAATGTCCAAACTGCAAACATGTTATTGATAACAGTGATGTAAGTATTAGTCTACAATATTTGTTGTCAACTATACACTTTTGTAAGTTCATACTTTGGAAAATCGATATTCCTCTAAATTTTGGGGTATCCCATTTTCTGAAACCTTCTTCTGGTACATGATTAATCTGTTGATTGTTATTTGTTACCAATAGTTGCAAAAAGGTAGGTTATTGCTGATGAGAAAGGAGGTATGAGCTGACTGGGTTATCTTAATGGCAGAAATAGGCATCATTTGCTCAGTTTCAGAGCCTATTGACATTGGGCTTTGGAATATAATGCATCCCAGAATTTAATCACAGAATCTCTGCATGTGTAAAAGCAGTTGAAGTGTAACTTTAGCTTTCAGCTCACATTGAATAGAAGTTATGTGTTCTAATCAATATTTTGCTGAATTTCATTCTATGCAGGTTGCTATACAGTGGCCTGGGCTGCCTGCTGGTGTCAAGTTTGATCCATCTGATTTGGAATTGCTTGAACATTTGGAACAAAAGATTGGCCTGGGGGGTTCAAAGCCACATACATTCATTGATGAATTTATTCCGACTATAGATAATGATGAAGGGATATGCTATTCACATCCGGAAAATCTTCCTGGTATGGACTTAATGTCTTGTGATGGCATATGGCTGTTTTCGAAGTTATTGGTTTATCCATGTTATTTACCAAAATCTTATTTTTGGCCAACAGGTATGAAGAAAGATGGAACCAGTGGTCATTTCTTCCATAGAGTTTCAAATGCATATGGTTGTGGTCAGCGCAAGCGTCGAAAGATCAGTAACTGTGATCATGTTGTTTCTGTTGAACATGTGAGATGGCACAAGACAGGGAAATCCAAAGCCATAGTTGAAAAGGGGGTTACAAAAGGTTGGAAGAAAATAATGGTTCTGTACAAGAGTTCACAAAGAGGTGCCAAACCTGATAAGGCTAACTGGGTGATGCATCAGTACCATCTTGGGGCAGAAGAAGATGAAAAGGATGGGGAGCTTGTTGTCTCCAAAATCTCCTACCAGTTGCATGGAAAACAGATAGACAAGTCTGAAACAGGAAATGCTGATGAAGAATCTGATGCATTTGCTGCAAGGGTTGGTCCAAAAACTCCAAAGTCAAACACCCCACAGCCATGTCGCTTAAAAAACAGTCCATGTGAAACAGAAAATTACGATCCCATCTTGGAGGACCAGGTAATGTACATTACTTCTGTTATCATTGATGCAAATGAAGAATTGAAAGCCAATTTGGTCAGAATTTGGGTAACCACTGAAGCAGGAAACATTTCATAATCTGGTTTCAGATCTGCACTCAACGGATCACTAAAAATAACTCGAACTATAACTGTAATCCTTAGGTTATTTTAGTTTTGTATATTATTGTTTTCAATGGAGTATCAAACCACTACTTTCAACATTCTGGAAAGTTGTATGCTTCCCTTTTGAGAGATGATGAAAAATGACATATCTAAGCATCGATGATATTTTGTTTTGCTGTATTTGTTCATCATTTGAAAATATTAATTTTGTTCTTTGATTTGCGAATTATTATAGGACGAAGAGGAGTCTAACATACCTATTGTTAGCCTGAAGGATGATGCTGGGAATCCTGCGTGGTGCGCTGGAGAAACCCAGGCCGCGAGGGAAGCAGTTCAGGCCTGTCCTAACTTGGATGAATCCCTGCGCTGTCATGAAGTTCTGGATTCCTTCTATCATGAAACGTTGCTTCCTTCTGACCGCCCAATTCTGTCCCAAGGCGGGAATGAGATTCTTGACAGGAACCTGAATGCGGTGTATGGACTACCTGATCTCTACAATGTAGACCTTGGAACACCTCCAGATTTTCAGCTTGCTGTAAGTTTATCCCGTGGCTCTCTCTTGGTGCCCATATGTCTGCCAATTCTGATCCTGCCTCGTTTTTTCTGTGTTGTGACAGGATTTGCAGTTTGGATCACAGGAGAGCATTGGCAACTGGCTGGATAGCATCTAGGTCGATAGAGAATTCGAAGTAAGGCGAAGAACTGCAGGAACTTTTTGTGGGATCAAACTGCATAGCTGAAGTCGTGCTGAACCATCAAACCGTCTCAGATAGGGTCATCTGAACCTCATATTTTGCCTCAAAACTGGAAAGGAAATGTTATGTGATGGCTTGTTCGGGGCCATGTAATGGTGGAAACCTCCAGCTATTTAACTCTATGGGAGAGCATGTAGGTGTGTAGGTATGTCTTAGTTCGACTCTCTTTGTCACAAACTTGCATATTTCGTGGTTCCTCCTAAAAGATGATCATGAGAACCCATGCATTTCTATTGCCCATGGTTGAGCCATTCGTGAGTCTATAATTCCCAGGTTCATGGTGATGAGGAGCCGCTCTGTTTTCCCTATAAAGAAATGAGAATGCCTCCTTGTTATTTTGATGGGCCGGCCTGGCAAAATGCAGTGCCACAAATCCGTACCAAATGCCCACTGGCCCAGGATCTGGTTCGGCATCTTTTGGATTTTGCACCTCCAAAGGTCGAAAATAACTAGAAAAAATGAATTACTGATCCATTCAGCGATTCAGCAGAAATAGTAGTAGCGGCTTTCATTCATTTTCCCTGGCCCCAGGGTAGGAACTTTTCGTGCATAAAAGTCCAATCCTAATGGAACTTTATCTCTCTATTGTTTGGCCTCCGATCGAGCCAGGAGCAATCATATATCCATAATTCAGAAACGCAGCAGGACAATTCATGAATGGACACTGGGCCAATCAAGCTGGAAAGAAATCTATCCAAGAATCACAGTATCCGAACCATAACGCGCGTCAGACGCTGCGCCCGCCGGCGCCGGCACTCCTCGCTGGTAGCCCGGGCTCGCCCACGCCGCCTGCCTCCCGGCGGGCGCCGCGCATCAACGCAGCCGATCGAGGCTGCAGCTAGTCGATCAGCTACCCTGCATACTACTCTTGCATGCAGGTGGCGCCTGGCGCTTGCACGGCGCGGCTCGGCTGGGCTAGCTCGTCCAAAACATGGCGGCATGGCGCGCATGTGTGATGCGTGGACTTGGATTGTGCATGGGTGTTAGAAAACGATAAGCAAATAAACGATAAAAAAATAATTCAATCACAAAAGATACGAGATTTAACGTGGAAAGCCCTTTCAAAATAAGAGAGAAAAAACCACGGACACCAACAAAAAAATATCTTCACTATATCGAGGTGAGGTTATAACGCCGAACGGCGGCTTACCAGAAGTATATATGAAGGTGAAACCTTAAAAGGATAACGATCCATACCGCGGGGGTTCCACTTCAGCCTATGTTTCGCTCCGGCCCAAGCCTCCGGTGATGGGCCTCCGCTTCGCTCCCACAGAAGCTGACCTTTATTATGTATAAATAAATTTGGAGCACAACTCAACAATAGATGGTTCGGCTAGCTCCATGATTGCGCGGCCGGCCGGCCAGAGCCTGCTCCTCCTGCCTGCAAGCATGCATGCCCCTCTTTCCAGCTAAATGAAACTGTGGCATTATTTTTGGCAGCGCTCGATCGCCGTACTTCTTTGACACTCGTGCAGGAAATGAAACTGTGTGAGCGGCACATATATTGTGTAGGCGATTCGGTCCATGGTTGGTGAGACCATGGCTGCCCAGCCGGCGATCGAGCTAACTTCGAAGTTTCGGCACGTACACGCATTCACCGTCACCGGCGCCCACCAGGGCGCGTGGGCCGCGCGCGGCGGACGGTGGTTGCTTGGCCACGCGCGTAGCGGAGGAGGGAGCTCGATTGGTGTACGGACACCGGCAGGCCGGGAAGAATCGAGATCGGCATATCGCTGGTCGGCCAGCCGGCCGGCCGGCAAGACGGCGACTGCTCCGGGACACCGATCGAGAGATGGCGCGCAGGCCGCGGACACTGTACCCTGAACGTACGTAGTAGTATATTGGTAATGTGCTATGCTATACACGCGAGGCGTACGTACATGCGGCCGAACAGTCCGGCACATGTACGGCCGCGTGAATGGGCATATAATTTAGTGGTTGCAGCGACATGAGGTCCTGAGTTCAAATCTTCATAGGAGCGAAATTCAGAGTGGATTATTTGATGGCTAAGTTCTATGTTTTATAGGATAAGTTTCTAATTTAAAAATGTTGTATATATCCGATTGGATATATAGGTTTGGTAAAAAATAACTTCTCTAAAAAAATAAAAAAAATATGTACGGTCCGTCGAGGAAGGCGCTGCTGCCATGATTGGGAGCTCCTGTGCATCGTTGCTTCACAGCTAGCTTTGCTAGTACACACAGCGGTTTTGGTTTCAGCCATGTAAGTAGGACCCGTTTGCAGAAACTTAATTTGCAGGTCGATCGATGGATCGATCAAGACGTTTTCAGCGTGCACGAGTTGCTTGCATAGTTGCATGCATGCATGGCTGGCCGGTCCTGCACCCGTCTTTTTCCACGAAAGTTCGCTCCCTCGATCGGAACAGTGGCTTAACGTACAGGGCAGAGCTGCATGGCTGCCCGGCCGCTGCCCATAGAACCGTGTTGGGTTCTGGCCGGGAGAGAGATCTACCTGATTGCACGGCTACTAATAACTCTGTCACAGACCTGTCTCTTATCCATCGTAGTACGTGATCCCCCACCCGTGCGCCATGCCCCAGCTAACCCAGCTAAGGCCTCGTTTAGCTCCTTAATTTCTTTCTCAAAAACATCACATCAAATCTTTAGATATATGTATTGGAGCGTTAAATATAGATTAAAAAATAATTACCTAGTTAGGAGAGAAATCGCGGGACAAATCTTTTGAGCATAATTAGTCCATGATTATCCATAAGTGCTACAGTAATCCATATGTGCTAACGATGGATTAATTAGGCTCAGAAGATTCGTCTTACGGTTTCTAGACGAGTTATGAAATTAGTTTTTTCATTCATATCTAAAAACCCCTTGCGTCTTCTGATCAAACATCCGATGTAACATATATTTTTTTTTCGCGAACTAACATACCCTAATTTTGGGCCGACGCGCGCGCAAGGCGCAGCCAGCAGCACAGGCCCATCACACGCGGTTTCCACCGTGCAATTCACCGTCCGTCACGCACGCGGGCGCGGCGCGCGCCTCATCAAGCCTCGCCTAGCAAGTAGCGACCGCGTCAGTCACCCGTGTCGATCAGCATTGGCTTTCCCGTGTGTCTTCGCGCGCGCGTACAAACACGTACGCGTTGCGGCATCGCGTAACAGGGACCTCGAAGCCCACCGGGCCGAGCTTCTCTTCGTCTACGCCAGTGTGGTTGTTGGACTCTACTTGGGCGTTTGGAGTTGGGTTTGGACCACCTGGGAGAATGCGACCATGTTGGATTGTTTTTTTTTTCTTTCTGTGACGACGCCATCAGAGTTATGTATTTGTTCCCCATGGTCTCTTCGGGGTACCTATCTTGAACATGTACTGATGTACTCGTACGCTGCACGTACAGACAAGAACAGAGCAAATTGGCACAGGAGACACCCCAACATATTCTGGTTCAGTTGAGCCTTTCGACCTTAAATTAATTTCTGTAGCTGATAAGATAATGAACAGTTCCTCCTTCCTTCCCGAAGAAACCGCACCAGAAATTTATTCCATCTTCGTATTACTTGCCGTTACAGCATTTAAATCTTTTGCTCGTATCAAAATACTTGTCGTTCTCACATTCTAACTAATACATTTGAGGTGATTTTCCCGCTTCATTATTAGCTCATCTGATTTTAGAGAACTGATGGAATGTACTAAATGAGAATAACAATCTAATATGCCTTATCTTCTTGGGTTATGTGAGATTTCCCAGAATTAGAAGTAGTCGGAAACGGAATTATTTATTTCATCTTTGAAATATAAAATCATGCAAAGTCATCTACTGGAACGAAATTATTTCAAACAATACTGACACATGTATATTCAATTTTATGCATGGCAAAGCACGTGTATTTTTTTTAACGACTCGCACTAGATAGTGTAAAGTTCATATTGATAAAACAGAAAAAATTACAAAATTACAACCAATAGGAGGTCGTAAACAGGAAAACGAAGAAAAAAAGAACAACCCCACGCACCGACAGCACCAATACACATATTCCGGAGAAGACTAGCATTGAACCGACCATCGTTAAGCGTGACCGGTCGCTGCTAGGCCAACGAAGGAAATACAATTAAGGTCACTCAAAACCTAACCCTAACAACCGACACCAAACCCCCACTCTAGCCACCTATTTGGGATTCGGGGAGAGAGGGTGAAAGAGAAGAATGTAACCGTTCTCCCCACTAAATCCTTCGATGTGACCAACTTGCATAAGCTAAGGCGTCGACACAAGAGGACTTGCATATAGATAGCGTGTAACTGCATGATTAATTGAGGCCCTTATTATTACCACAAAATCCAGATGCCTGAATTAATATTGGGAACTTGCAAAACCGTTTGTCCTTAAGAGGGAACAGCATGTGCAAGAGACACCTGCTCTGGAGACAATGGAAGTTGGGGCAAAAAGGCAAGAGACTGCAACTAGGAGGGATCCTAAACGATCCGAATCTGTCTAACCTCGAATGATTTGGCACTAAACAACCATCATCAAATCCAAATGGGTTCTGCCTTGATTTTGGATAAAAATTGCAACTTGCCGCACTCTATACCGTCTCTCTCTATCTCAAGGGAACGATCAGATCAGATTTTCAGATGCCCTGATTGATCTCCATGCCTACGTGTATTGTCAAACGGTGTCGGATTATACAACTCCAAGAGCTGAGCAGAACAAGATTGCTTGGGATACAAATTTTGTCAACATTGCATAAGCACTTACGCGTTACAGCTTTAATCCCTGAGGCCTTGCCCAAACTTTTCTCAGCAAGGAGATCATTGCGCCAGTTTATGGCTAATAAACTAAGGGATTGTGTGAGGTATGTGTTCACCAAAGTTGATACGGCCCAGATTACATTACACTAAACCCCCCCTGCTAATCTAGCCAAAGTGAGCTGTTAATGGAGTAACTTTTGTACTTTTAATCCATCAGCCAGGGGTGACCACACACAATTAAAACATATAGAAAAGGAATCACCAGTGTCACCACAGGAGCATGGAAAAGGAATCTTGCAGTCATCACCAGGCTAATTGCTGTTTAATAATGTCATTAACATAAGCTATTGCCATGAGTCTCATACTAAGTCATAACTTTCTTTTTCTTTTTCTTTTTCCTTTTTTTTTCTCAACCCAAAGCTTTGCTGATGCACACAAGTTGTCACCAAAATATTTTTCGGCCGTCCGATGTCAAAGGGACGGCTAGCTGGGGCCTTGATGCTGCAAAAAGGCATGTCGCCACTGAGCACTAGTAGTTTGGGGGTAGCTGTCCATGCTGGCCACA